ACATAAAGGGAAGAAGATTTTGACCACCGGATGTCAATAAAACTGCATATTAAGCAAACCTCTACTTGTATAGCAGGTCTCAAAATGTGCAAGGGCATGCCTTGAGGTTCACAAACTTTGCCTGCTTAGTGCCTAACCTGCTGTATTTCTCAAAGGACATTTGAATGGGGGAGCGAAGACTGTACCATTGAATACCTCTAAAACACCCAGGTTTTTGCAGGTCCGTTGTGAAATTTCTACTAAATCCCTACCTGCCACATGTCCTGGTGCCATGTGCCTTATTTGTGTATCACTCAGCTATCACTCGGCTGTACATCCACACATCATCTCTGAATTGGTGCCGACACTGTCCTTCCTTCTGGAGGGTGGCTACTTTTGTTCCCCATGGTTCCTGTGCGTGTTGTAAAGTAGCCACCGCTCCAAGCTCGCTCCTGTGATGGACTACAATTTCAATATAAATTATTAAACTAAATATGAGATTGTAGTCCATCATGGCAGTGAGCTTGGGGCTGGAGCAATGGCTACTTCACAGTGAGTCTGGAGCAATGGCTACTTCACAACACACACAGGGACCATGGAAAACAAAAATAGCCCCCCTCCAGAAGGAAGGACAGAGTCAGCACCAATTCAGAGATGATTTGAAGATCTACAGCTGAGTGATACACAAATAAGATACATTTTGAATTAATAGTTAATGTACTTGAACACATTTTTAAGATTTAACTCCTGAGTTTAGTTGTCAGCAGAGGACCACATTAAAAACCCATCTTTGCTGCAACACAAACATCTCTACAAATATTACCATCCCTTGACTGCCGAAGTGTATAACAAAATATGTACACCAAATTAATGTCAGAATCCCTTTTTTCTTTTTTGTAAATCGCACTATTACAATCAAAGGGCCTATCACTTTCATTTAAATTTCTATCTAATACAAAATGCGTTCCTCTGAACATTTGCTATTAAAAAGAGATGCATATTTTTCACTTCTTTCTTGATGGAATGACTAAGACCACATCCAGCTGAAGTGTTGACAGAAACATTTTAATTCTTGCATACTAAAGAGGGAACGAGATGATATTCCTGCATTGCAGCACGCAGTGACAAATAAACTGACAAAACAGACTGATTAACTTTGCTCCATCTCGCATTATGGTAATAGAGAGCAGGTGTAAACCTTATCACACAATACGGTAGCAAGACAAAATCATTATGCAGCTTAATCACTTAGAGAACCAAAGCAACTAAAATAATAAACTTTTTTTTTAAATAAAAAACATCTGCAGCATGTTGTAGAACTTTGTCGAAGTTATAGAGCTCTTTAAGTTGTGATTGTTAACAGAAGTCTATTGTGCATTGGGTCATGGTTCAAGCAGCTGTCAGCTGGATGATTTAACATGTTTCATCTACAGTATTAGCAATGGAGAATGATTTGATTTCCTCAAAAAAAAAAGCAGCTTATTTGTGTATTGTGCCCCAAATTAATTAGTCTAAGAAATCATGAAAAGTTGATAAGGCTTAAAGCAGTGAGAAATGGGTGATTTACTAGCAATATCTGATGGATGAAATCAAAACAGGGATGAAGCCTATATCATGGTAAAATAAATACAGCTCTTAAAGTGACACTAAACTCAGGAATTAAATCTTAAAAATGCATTCAAATACCGTAACCATTAACCAAAATGTATCTTATTTGTGTATCACTCGGCTGTGGATCCTCAAATCATCTCTGAATTGGTGCCGACACTGTGCATCCTTCTGGAGGGACACTACTTCTGTTCCCCATGGTCCCTGTGTGTGTAGTAATGTAGCCACCCCTCCAAGATCACTCCCTCGATGGACTACAATTTCAGTACAAATTAGTAAACTAAACATGAGACTGTAGTCTAGCATGGGAGCGAGCTTGGAGCAGTGACTACCTTAACCCCTTCATGACTGAGGCCCTTTTTTCCATTTTTGCACCCATGTTATATTCCACATTTTAGGCCTGAAAATGACGTAAAACACGGACCATGGGGATCAAAAGTAGCCACCCTCCAGAAGGAAGGGCAGTGTTAGCAACCAAGTCAGAGATGATTTGAGGATCTAGAGCGGAGTTTAGTGTCACTTTAAGCCCTGTTGTGGGTTGACACCACACAGCTTTTTTTGTGATGTTAGACCTACCCAGTGTGTTATGTGAAACTACTCCAGATCTCAACAACATAAAGGCCAATCATTCCTTAGTCCATGAAAAGAACTGGGAGGGCTAAACAGCCTCTTTGAAAAAACACAGGAAGTGTGCAGAGGACATAGAACAGCTCCTAATTTTGGACAAGATCATCAAGTTGTTTTTGTTTTTTTCACTAAACAAACAGATCTAACAACATGCTTTTAATGGCATGTTTAACAGAACAAAAGGGAGCAAATAAGAGAAGTTAATTGTCAGAGTTTACATGCAATTAAAGATCTAAGCATAACTTGAAACCTGACTGCTGCTGTTGCCACTTCCACCTAATCATGATGATTACTGAACAAGCCATGAGCCTAAATCTTTGGCCTGTTTCTCCTGACAGGAGTGACATCAGAACCATTCCCTATGGTCAACGCAGATACCAGAAAGTCAGTAGAATCTTCTGTAGGAGAAGTTGGCTGGGAGGAGGTTGTGGTTCTGTTCTCCTTCCAATAGCAGCATAATATGGGGAGGGTAATTGAGTGGGGTGTAGGGAGGAGTTGGGTGCCACTGTCTGCTTCCTCCAGTGGCATCAGAAAGCGATAGGGGCACCTGGTATGACATTTGCAATTGGATGACATTATTTACTAAGCTTCCCCTGCATTCTATACACTAAAATAATCCAAGTACCTCATCTGCCAAACGTTGTTCCTCAACAGGTCTGGCACCATTTTATGATGGTGCTCTTCCTATGGCAAAGTAGAAAAAAAATGCTCTGAAAGATCTGCTAGCAGGAATACCAAGAGTCTTTGAAATCACAGTGAAACTACTCAAACTTCTTTAAACTTGCTTTCCTGCGTATTTCCTGTTATTTGCTTTGTGCAACATTCACCTGCTGTGCTTTGTTATTCTCTATTTATGCTTCATACTATTAAAATAAACTTGTTAAGCCACACCTACAGTATTTTGAAACCGACAGCCCATAAAACAGAATCTGTTATTAAATGCCTTAAGGAGGACTGTATTAACTCTTTCTTGCTCTTCCCAACATATACTATACTGCCCCACGTGAATGGGAGATGGTTCTTTTTTTATGTTTCTTATTGACGTGTTACTGAACTAAGAGTTGAAAGAGAAAACTGGGGTACACCGCTTACTACAACACTGGGAGTGATCACATGAATAATTAAAGGCATATAGGTTATACTACATATAAAGATTAAAAACAAATGTTTACTGATCATACCTTGAAATCAGAAACACTAATGCAGTTCTGACAAAATCCTTCTTTAACTTTTTTGGAACTCTTTTGAAAATATTTTTCCAGCCCTCCAAAACCATTTGAAGGCTTTTACTGTATACGACAAGGACAATAGACCTGAAACTGACAATTTAACCTGAAACAATGGGAACCTCTTACTCACAAATAATCCCATCAGCAGTATTAGCGGTACCAAGAAATGGATATACCTACCCAATGTTACTATACTTAGCTCAAGCTAAATAGATTGTTCGCTCTGCAAGGCCAGTGCTATGAGAAGGTAGTTTGGTGAGAAACAATCAGTTGTTCATATAATTTAATAATGCGCAGAGTTGCATACCTGTTAGCCCTGGACTAGGTAGGCCATTGCAGAGACCACAGACCTCCATAACAGTCCCATTTTGTACCAAATAATGTTTGGAGAGTAAACCTTTACAAGTGGGCACTTCCAATTTGGCAGAATCATACCATCTCTCTGGAAATGGCATATGAGTATGTATCTACCCACTCGTCAATGAGATTTAAAAAACATCTAAACCATGGAGGAATTTGTGGCTACAATAAGTGGAACATTAGAAGAATTTAACCAACAGTTGGTTTCACTGGTTCTTTAAAAGCATCCAAGAAATATACCGTACTTTAAAATGGGTATGATGAAAACTGATTTGGTGATGCAAACCCTTTCCTACAAAGCAGTGAAACTGCTGTTATTTGGGTATCTAGTAACTCCTGCTCAAGGATTATTTTTGTCTTACTGAACACATGGCACACTTAACCAGCACAGCAGGGCAAGCCTTACCTTTCGCCAACATGAACTCAGTCCAAGCAAAACCAGTTGTGACCTTAGAACCCTTCTCCTCCCCTTGGCTCCCACAACTGCAACTGTTGTCAGTAAGGCTAGGTTGTGCAAACATCATCCATTTGACTGGAAAACTTCAGTGTTGTCATTGATTTCTGGGTCACAGATTCGCTGCACAACATGGCTGCTTCCATTACACTTCTCCCTTAATATTTTTTTTTATCAAAGTTACCAAAATTACAAGACCCCATTAGACTTTTGCTAAACCAAATTCATGCTCTTATTGGCAATTTGGAGGATAAAACATCACCACCGAGGATAAAAATAAGAAAATAGTTACTTAATCAAAGTGAACACTACAGTGCCATTAAGCTATGTTTTTTTGCTGAAGCAAAAATACCTTTGAGAGCACAAAGAAAGACTCGTACATGCGGAAATATGCAGAGCAAGACCATCTATCATTAAACTAAGAGGGATGGAACCGTGCAATTACAAAAGGTAAAGCGACTATAGGGGTCCGATTTAAAATATCCACTAAATGTTGTCTAAAAATAAAGCCATTAAAACGAAGCAAATAAATCACATAATAAAAGAAACTCTCTTAAATGCACAGTCTAGACTTGCAGGACAAAATGTTTTGTATGCAGAGCCTTGAACTCTTGAGCACAGACGATAGCTGTGTTAATTAATATATCGTCACTCCAACAGATGCTCAGAGCTTTTCCTTTCTATAACTTAACAAAACACTGCCTAAGCTTTCCAAATATAGTCATATAAAGAAGTTCACGTACCTGCATTGACGATGGCGTCTACTTCAAGTTGGGTAATGTCTCCTTTGTAGAGCGACACTTTGCCACACAAGCTGTTTATTTTTTGATTGTCATCTGGAAAAAGAACAATGGCATACGTTTTTTTTTAAAACATAATACAGTAAAGAAGGTTATAGAAAAGTTTGACTTTTAGGGGCCTCTACAAGTAGTAGTATGAATTACTATGCTGCTGGACCTGAGGGTATATTATAAGTACACAGATCTTCAATTACAGATTTTATCAGCAGCACTGGTACTGCAACATACATATTATTTCCTGTGAAAATCATTAGAGTTTTGCGGTTGGACAGTCTTTCAGACACATCCAACAAGGAAGGTACTCTTAAAGTGATATTATAGTCAAACAGGGTTATTCACAAAAGCATGAAGAGTTTGGAGAAGGCAGGAGAAGTGAAAAAATCTAGGGCAACATAGCTGAACTGGAAAGTGAGCTGAATTGGAGAATTTTTCCAAATCAGCTATGTTGTCCTAGATTGTTCACTTCTTCTGTCTTCTCCAAAATCTTCACCCTTTTGTGAATAACCCTGAAAATGTTTTTGAGCTATTTGAAATGCCGATTAAATCCTTACAATGAATACTGCTTCTTGATTTTTAGAAGTTTTTGTTTCCTGCGGAATCAGCTGCTCCTCTGAGCACTGACCCTGGTATCCTGGAAGGATGCCTCCTTCCCCTTGCAGGGTCTTATCCACCCTTGAGCTGTGTGCGTCTCCATAAACACACAGGCACAGCAAGGCAAGACACTCCCCTGTTCCTCGTTCCTCCCTTCTCCCACCTAGTACAGTATACAGTAGATGGACAGCTGCTGTAGACTGCTCTGTCCCTTGTGATCTTGTACTGCACAGGAAGTACAGGGAAGCTCAGCTGAGAGCTAAAGCTGCTTGAAAACATAATGGCTGCAAGTATTTGGGAAAAATGTAAAGAAATACTTTGCTGGGCAATGTACTGTATATTTGTTTGATCAAGATTCATTATTCATGATTGATCTGGATTCATTATTATTCCCCAAGCTCCTTCTTCTTCTTCCCTCCTTCCTTCTCCATTTAGTTGAAACACAGTCGCTGTGACAGAGCTGTCCCTTGTGATCTTGTACTGGACAGGAATTTCAGGGAAGATGACCTGAGAGAGTTGGAGCTGTTCTGAAACATGATGGCTCTGTTTGGGTAAAAATATAACAAAACACTTTGCTGGGCAATGTATGTTTTTTGATCTGGATTAATTATTTAAAAAAACTTTGAGCATTTAACAATACTATAAATGCTACTACACAGAGAGAGCCCGGGCCAAAAGGGGATTCACATTTTTCTTGGAAGCCCCTTTAAATTGAAACTGTACTATGGTAGGTATATATATATTTTTATTCATCTATTTTTTTATGTAGGGGAATTAAGTAGGGGAATTCTCGAACATCTGTCAGCTTTTTTTTTTATTGTTGTCTGGATCCTGTTGCTGAGTTTCCCCTATTTTCCAGATTTGATGTTAGTAGCAATGTAAGATTTACCTAAAACTGGAAAATTCTAAATATGTAATAGAACAATGGAACACATGCGTGTACTGTAGTTTAAGTAATGACAAATAACTGAAGTTACTCTATGGTCAGAATCTAGTAAGCTCTGTGAAAAGTAAATATCATAGGAATTTGAGGTAGAGGTAGTATATGTATAGGTATACAATCAAAAACTGTCCAACATACATTCTGCAAGCTTCTTTGAGCAGGGATAGAAGGGAATGAAATAAAAAAAAAAAGAATGTATATCTCATGCAGTGCATGGGGAGTTTCTGGGTAGTGATCAAATAATACAAACAACATTAATTTTTCTTACAATCAGATCTAATGGCAAGTATCCTAAACATAATATAAAAATTGTGTTTTTCTTACTGTAACGGTTTTCCTGCACGATCCCAGATTGCTACCAATTGGGGCTTTGCTGTGATCCTTCCAAAGTGCAGTTAAGGTAGAGTAGTGTGTTTATTATTGTAGGTTGCAATATATTTTGGTTGCAGGAGTCTACCACCACACGCACTCCAGCAAAAGTGCAGAGATGCTAAATGACTCCATTCCCAAAAGGAAGGTAAGAATTAGATCCCCTTTCCCAAAATTCACATAGGGGGAATTTACTTAAACTGGAGCAGACAGAATGTGGAGCAGATGTGCATAGAAACCCACCAGCTTCAATCTTCAGCTTGTTAAGTTAAGCTTTGAAAATGAAAGCTAAAAGCTAAAGAATGCTAGAAGCTGTTCCAGATTGTACTCATACTTCAGAATGAGCCTTTAAAATACCTGTCTGGTGGAATTAAAAACATTTTTTGCAATTTTTATATTTTTTTTTTCTTAACTATGTTTTGCTTTACCCTCACTCACATTCAATATTTCTTGTAGCCATTTATTAGTAGCACGGTGAAGGCCAATTCCCGGAATCCTTGCTTGCATTCACATTAAATGCTCTACTCTTTCCAAACTTGTATGTGCTACATGCTTTGTGGGCAAGGTAAACTGAGCCTGGCATATAACAGTGAAAACATGTACAGATTTTATCCACCAAGAGATTTCGACCCTGTATCTTGCTGCAACTTTTCATTCATTCCAACACTTTAATCATACATCTTGCTTCTTTAAAAATGTTACTTGCTCAGACTTTTTCTCTTAAAATACCTCAAGCTTTGTTTGCTGGAAGGTAGAACAGATCTGTGATTAGGATCCAGAATTCAGCTTATCTCCTGTGCGAAAGCTTACATCTACAGCTCAGCTCAATATCTCCAGCTTACACATTAGATACATAAAAAGATAGAGTGACGGCAGAAAAAACAGAATTTTAGTACTCAACATAAAATCCTTTCCTTCGAGTTCATTGAGTGACATTTGGGTTATATGGGAACCTAAAGGAGGATTTGGAGTAGCCTTGTATAGTCCCTCCTACTTCCATTCATGTCTCAGTTCTATAACACAGCAGTGCTGAGAAAGACCTTAAACATTTTACCTGTGTCCCCCAGAGAACTTGAGGAAAAGGGTTTTCCATCCATCCATATTATTAGGAAACTAGCAAAAACAAAACAAAAAAGGCAGGCATGGGAGTGAGAGGGCTTATACTAGCCTAGTCACAGTTTCTCTGATCTGCCCAAAATAGTATAATTATATAGAATGTATAGAATCAATAAAAGTCTCTGATATGCCCAAAATAGTATAAATATATTATATATAGCTTCTGTACCACACCACCACGGATTTGAAATTAAACAACCGAGATCCAATTGAAGTACAGGGTCTTATTTTAATTCAAAGGGGTTGAATAACAATAGGAGTTGCAACCATTTTCATACACAGTCCGGTTATTTCAGGAGCTCAAATGTAATTGGACAAATTAACACATCACAATCATAAATAAAATGCTCATTTTTAATACTTTGTCGAGAATCCTTTGCAGCCAATGACTGCATGAAGTCTGGAATGCATGGACATCCCCAAATGCTGGGTTTCCTTCTTTGAGATGCAGGCCTTTACTGCAGCTGTCTTCAGTTGTTGTCTGTCCGTGAGTCTGCCTTAAGTTCTGTCTTCAGCAAGTGAAATGTATGCTCAATCGGGTTGAGATCAGCTGATTGACCTAGCCATTGTGGAATATTCCCCTTGTTTGCCTTAAAAAAAAACGCCTGTGTTGCTTTCGCAGTATGTTTTGGGCCATTGCCCATCTGTAAAGTGAAGCACAGTCCAAACACCTTTGCTAAATTTCTCTGAATCTGAGCTGACAATATATTCCTCTTCAGAATTCACCCTATTGCTTCTGTCACATCATCAATAAAACACTAGTGACCCAGTGTCATCGGAAGCCATGCATGCAGATGCCATCACACTGTGTTTTACAGATGATGTAGTATGCTTCAGCTCATGAGCCGTTCCAAGCCTTCTCCATAATTTTTTCCCACATCATTCTGGTAAAGGTCGATCTTGGTTTCACCTTGGTTTGTACCGCACAACGCACCCCCGTGCGATTACAATGAGGGGTTTGCGTTGCGTGCCATTCATTCAAATGGCATCCCAAATGCACCACCCCAAACGCAATCATTGCACGGATGGTGGTGTGAATGGGCCCTAAGGAGGGCCTATTTCACTTGCATTGAGAGCTCCTCTGAACGCATGTTGTGAATTCACAGCAACAGCTTCCAAAAGTGAATGCCACACCTGGAATCAACTCCAGACCTTTTACCTGCTTAATTAATGATGAAATAATGAAGGAATAGCCCACACCTGTCCATGAAGCAGCTTTTGAGTCAATTGTTCAATTACTTTTGGTCCCTTGAAAAAAAGAGGGGGGCTACATATTAAAGAACTCTAAACCCTTCTTCGAATATGGATGTGACTACCCCTCAACTTAAAGCTGAGAGACTGCACTTTAAGCCCAGATTCTTTATTGAACTGCAACTGTAACAAAATATAGTTTGGTAAAAATAACAAAACTTGTGTCAGTGTACAATTATATCTGGACCTAACTGCATATATATGTAGGCCCATCTACATGAGAAACAGCAGTTTATGCTGTATAAGACAGCCAACACCCAGACGCAGCCCTAAGGCAGGTTTACTGCCGCACAGGAGGCCTTTTACCTGGGAGAGGCTAAACCTGGGTAGGCATGAATAAATGCACACTTTTTAGAGGGATCCTGACACTTACTGCAGGAGTGAGGACAGAAAGGGAACACTGGCTGCTTAGCTAGAGGGCATTTTATGCTCTTGTTAGGTTGGTCCTAAGGAGCAGTCAAGAGGGTGGAGATGGCTGCTTAGCTAGAGGGCATTTTATGCTCTTGTTAGGTTGGTCCTAAGGAGCAGTCAAGAGGGTGGAGATGGCTGCTTAGCTAGAGGGCATTTTATGCTCTTGTTAGGTTGGTCCTAAGGAGCAGTCAAGAGGGTGGAGATGACCCATCCTAGACTGACATGAGGAGGGTCAGCCTAGGATTGTTAAGTGTGTTTGGCCAGTTGTTTTTGATCACCAACTTGCTTCCAACCTATGAATGGAGAATGATGAAGATGCTGCAAACTGAGTTAATCACTCTTTCTTCTTCTAATG